CATCAAGTAGCATACCATCCTCCAGGTCCTCCTTACTCGCATCTTTCTTCTCCTCGCCGTCGTCGAGGGACTCTGAGGAACCCTTGTGGCTTCCGCTGTCGCTCTTCAGCTTGCGATTCTTGTGGGAGCCGAGCGAGTTGTTGCTGACTGCGTCCTCCTCCAGGCGGACCTTCTTGTTGCTGTAGTCGTTTTCGATAATCTCTCCTCGGTTGTCCTTGCTGATGGAGTTGCCGATGTGTTTGCTGTTGTTGATGACCGAGTTGCTCTTGATCTTACCATCTGGAGATGTGGGAGAAACACGTTAGCACCTTTAGGGCCACAGCCCTAAATTCTTAATAAAAACAACTACACTGACTCGTCTGTAAATGACTTCAAATGTCTTAAAAAAGCTAAATGATAAAAAGTAAATCTTTCCAAAGAGGATATTTGAATGTTCACAAGACAAAAGCCAAACGTGTGTGAAGCTTATTTAATTGACAATAAAACGTAGAGGAAAACAATTATTTAATTAAAAAGAATAATAGATGTAGAATACAAATTAACTAGTTCACTTTTTTCTAGTATTTGAAACATAACATTATGACACCAGATTACAGCATATTATTTAGGTGACAAATTTACACGTCAAAAATAATACTAAGAGCAACGATGACAATGACCTCTGTGAGAGGTTTGCTGAAGGTTGTAGAAGTACAGTATATAGTTTATGGGGTAGAGCGAGGTGGAGTTACCTATTCCATTGTGTGCTATACAGCATTGTGAGGTTGGATTACCCGTCCCACTGTGTACTATAAAGTACAGCGAGGTGGGGTTACTCGTCCCACTGTGTACTGTTCAGTACAGCGAGGTGGGGTTACCAGTCCCACTGTGTACTGTCCAGTACAGTGAAGTGCGGTTACCCATCCCACTGTGTACAATCCAGTACAGCAAGGTGGGGTTACCCGTCCCACTGTGTAGTGTAGTGAGGTGGGATTAACCGTCCCACTGTGTACTATGTAGTATAGTGAGGTGAGGTTACCCATACCACTGTGTACTATAAAGTACAGCAACGTGGAGTTACCCGTATCACTGTGTACTATCTACTACAGCCAAGTGGGGTTACCCATCCCACTGTGTACTATACAGTATAGTGAGGTGGGGTTACCCGTCCCACTTTGTACTATAGAGTACAGCAAGGTGGGGTTATTCATCCCACTGTGTACTATACAGTATAGTGAGGTGGTGTTAACCGTCCCACTGTGTACCATAGAATACAGCAAGGTAGGGTTACCCGCCCCACTGTGTACTGTCCAGTACAGCGAGGTTGGGTTACCCACCTCACTGTGTACTGTCCAGTACAATGAGGTGGGGTTACCCGTCCCACTGTGTACTATACAGTATAGTGAGGTAGGATTACCCATCCCACTGTGTACTATACAGTACAGCGAGGTGCAGTTATCCGTGCCACTGTGTACTGTAGTGAGGTGGGGCTACCCATCCCACTGTATAGTGAGGTGGGGTTACCAGTTCCACTGTGCCATCCAGTACAGTGAAGTGGGGTTATCCGTCCCACTGTGTACTATACAGTATAGTGAGATGGGGTTACCCATCCCACTGTGCACTATACAGTATAGCAAACTGGGGTTACCCATCCCACTGTGTACTATAGAGTACAGCGAAGTGGGATTACCAATGCCACTGTGTACCACAGAATAGTGAGGTGGATTACCAGATTGATAATGATTAAGCCACCCAAGAGGTGGCACGGACACGAACAGCCCGTAAGTGGTAGATGTTTGGAGTGAATGTGGTCTTTGGTCGTGAAGCATCTTGAAATGTCTCTGAGTGTGAGTTACCCATTGCTGTTGTTTTAGATTCAGCTACCCGGAACTGAAAGTTTCTAGCAGCACGGGCTATGGTGAGCCCGTCGTACATGCCTGACACAGGAGATGTGCGGGTTACCCTGTTGTTTTAGATTAAGCTACTCGGAACTAAGTTCCTAGCAGCTCGGTCTATGGTGAGCACGTCGTACTTACCTGGCACAGGAGATGTGCGGGTGGTGGGTTACCCTGTTGTTGTTTTAGATTCAGCTACTCGGAACTAAAAGTTCCTAGTAGCACGGGCTATGGTGAGCCCGTCGTACTTACCTGGCACAGGAGATGTGCGGGTGGTTATCTTGAGATGATTTCGGGGCCTTAGTGTCCCCGCGGCCCGGTCCTCGACCAGGCCTCCACCCCCAGGAAGCAGCCCGTGACAGCTGACTAACACCCAGGTACCTATTTACTGCTAGGTAACAGGGGCATTCAGGGTGAAAGAAACTTTGCCCATTTGTTTCTGCCTCGTGCGGGAATCGAACCCGCGCCACAGAATTACGAGTCCTGCGCGCTATCCACCAGGCTACGAGGCCCCTTTTTTTTGGTGGTTTACCCTGTTGCTTTTTATTCAACTACTCTGAACTAAAAGTTCCTAGCAGCACGAGTTATAGTGAGACCATCGTACTTACCTGGTACAGGAGATGTGCGGGCGGTGGGTTACCCTAGTGTTGTTTTAGATTCAGCTACTCTGAACTAAAAGTTCCTAGCAGCACGGGCTATGGTGAACCCGTCGTACATACCTAGCACAGGAGATGTGCGGGTTACCCTGTTGTTTTTAGATTCAGTTACTCGGAACTAAGTTCCTAGCAGCTCGGTTTATGGTGAGCACGTCGTACTTACCTGGCACGGGAGATGTGCGGGTGGTCTGTTACTCTGTTGTTGTTTTAGATTCAGCTACTCGGAACTAAAAGTGCCTAGTAGTATGGGCTATGGTGAGCCCATCGTACTTACCTGGCACAGGAGATGTGCGGGTTGTGGGTTACCCTAGTGTTGTTGTTGTTTTAAATTCAGCTACTCTGAACAAATAGTTCCTAGCAGCATGGGTTAATGTGAGCCCGTCGTACTTAACTGGCACAGGAGATGTGGGGGGTTTTCGGTTACCCTGTTGTTGTTGTTTTAGATTCACCTACTAGAAAAAAACTTCCATGTAGCACGGGCTATGGTGAGCCCATATGTGGAGGCTCTTCGGAACCAATATCTGTATCAATAGCTGGTACTGGGGATGGGGTCCATGGATGCACCAATCCAGTCCAAGACCATAAAGCTGGTCAGACCGGTGAATTCATGGGGTATACACTTACAGTTGAGTGCCACAGGAGTCAGCAGGGCTGGCCACAGTTGGCCTGTCTAGGGGGAGATGTCTGGATGTTGTAAGAGGATTGGTTTCCTTATCCCAGTTCGCCGAAGTTGGTAGTCTGGTCGAATTTCCTTCTTCAAGGTGTCGAAGTCGCAGAGGTGATAGAGGTGTTCTTGAGAAACGACCATGCGAAGGATCCTTCCTGCTTCCCTACACTTGTATTCCCAGTAGTCGTTGTGGATTATGGAGTTATTCCCAGTAGTCGTTGTGGATTATGGAGTTATGCTATCTGTCCTCCTTGGAAAGTAGGTGGCCACGTCGGATATACCGTGAGGAGGCAGCATGGGAGCCTGTCAGTCTGGTTGGTGCCAGTGCAGGATTTGGAGATGGTCCCGGGGCGGCCTCACGAGGAGCAGGAGAGCCGGTGACATCGACTGAAGCATGGGAGTCGGTGGAGTCATCGTGATCGGCTTCCTTGAGTTCATCTTCAGAGTCGGGCGAGTCATCGGAATCGGCCTCGTCGCCCTGGTCAGCTGTCCTGGGGGCTGCTGCCGTCCCTGTCAGTGGGACAAGCTCCGACAACTGCCGAGTCGCTGTGGCCGGACCGTGAGGGTTTCCTGGGGGTCGGATCAGGGATCCCGGAGCGGAGGGTTCGGTAGCAGTTGTGGAAGCTGGGTCATCGGGTATAGCAGCTGTCGGAAGTTTATTCGTTACTCTACTTCGGCGTTGGAAATGGTCTTTACCGCTGTCAGCATCGTGTTCTGGTCGTTAATGCTGGAAAGGATGTCGTCGTCGTTGCGGTCGGTCTTCCTGGCAAAAACGGTCCTGTCCGCCAGGTAGCGTCTTGCAGGGTGGTCGGGGCGGTGGTGATGAATATCTTCTCAAAGTGTGAATCGCTGGAAAAGAGCAGATGAACACCCTATTTTGTCTCCAGGCTGTCAGAGGTGGCGGAGATTTATGCTAAAATCTCTGCGGTGGAGAGAACGATGTTCTCCCGGAGGCGAACCGTTACATTACATACATACATACAACCGTGACCCTATGCAACACGGTACAGGTATGCCTTGAACCATAGGAGCTTGGATCGGCCTCAAAGATGGATGTTTTGTCTTGCAAATGTTAGTATTGTGTTAGATTCAGCTACTCAACACAAAACGTTCCAAGTAGCATGGACTCTGGTGAGCCCGCAGTGGCCTTACCTGGCACAAGAGCAGGGCTGTAACTTAGGTCTTGCAAAAGTTGTTGTTTTAGATTTAGCTACTCAGAGCGAAATGTCCTGAGAAACGGGCTATAGTGATCCCGTAAGTCTTGCAAAGATGGATGGACCTGAAATACTGGTGGGGGTAACCATTTCCACTGCGTACTCACCTACAAAGTCGAAGCCGTCCATGGGAATGTCGACGTGGGTGTGGTCCTTGGGGAGCTTCTTGTTGGCCATCTGTCCGTCCATCATGATGTCGTCGGCCTCCCCGTCCCGTGGGTCTGTAAGACGCCGCGTCAACACTGACTCACTAATCATGCCACTGTCCAGCTCTGGTCCTACCTCTGTAAACCGCTACTCTACCTCTGTACACCGCTACACAATCTCTGTATACCGTTACTCTACCTCTAAACCGTTACTTTACCACTGCACACCGCTACTCCACCTCTGTACTCCGCTACTCTACCTCTGTACACTGCTACTCTACCTCTGTACACCGCTACTCTACCTCAGTACACCGCCACCCTACCTCTGTACATCACTACTCTACCTCTGTACACCGCTACTCTACCTCTGAACACCGCTACTCTACATCTGTACACTGCCACTCTACCTCTGTACACCGGCCCTCTATATCTGTACACTTCTGCTCTACCTCTGTACACCGCTATTCTACCTCTGTACACCGCTACTCTACCTCTGTACACTGCTACTCTACCTCTGTACACTGCTACTCTACCTCTGTACACTGCCACTCTACCTCTGTACACTGCCACTCTACCTCTGTACACTGCTACTCTACCTCTGTGCACCAATATCCTACCTCTATACACCGCCACTCTACATCTGTAAACCGCCACTCTACCTCTGAACACCGCCACTCTACCTGTGTTCACCGCCACTCTACCTCTGTACACCGCCACTACCTCTATACTCCGCAACTTTACCTCTGTACACCGCCACTCTACCTCTGTACACTGCTACTCTACATCTGTACACCGGTACTCTACATCTGTGTGCCGCTACTCTTACATCTGAACACTGCCACTCGACCTCTGTACACCGTCACTCGACCTCTGTACACCGCCACTCGACCTCTATACACTGCTACTCTACATCTGTGCATCGCTACTCTACGTCTGTGCGCCGCTAGTCTACATCTGTACACCGCCGCTCTACCTCTGTACACCGCTACTCTACATCTGTACACCGCTACTCTACCTCTGTACACCGCAACTCTACCTCTGTACACTGCCACTTTACCTCTGAACACTGCCACTCTACATCTGTAAACCCCCCCCCTACTCTACATCTGTACACCGCTACTCTACCTCTGTACACCGCAACCCTACCTCTGTACACCGCAACTCTACCTCTGTACACTGCCACTTTACCTCTGTATACCGCCACTCTTCCTCCGTACACCGCTACTCTAACTCAGTACACTGCCACCCTTCCTCTGTACACCGCTACTCTACCTCTGTACACCGTCACTCTACCTCTGTACTCCGCTACTCTACTTCTGTACAACGTCACTCTACCTCTGTACACTGCTACTCTACCTTTGTACACTGCTACTCTACCTTTGTACACCGCTACTCTACCTCTTTACACCGCCAGTCTATTTCTGTACACTGCTACTCTACCTCTGAACACCGCTACTCTATCTCTGTATACCGCTACTCTACCTCTGTACACCGCTACTCTACCTCTGTACACCGCTACTCTACCTCTGTACCCCACCACTCTACCTCTGTTCACCGCCACTCTACCTCTGTACACTGCTGCTCTACCTTTGTATACCGCCACCCTATCTCTGTACAACGCCACTCTACCTCTGTACACTGCTACTCTACCTCTGTACACCGCTACTCTACCTCTGTACACCGCTACTCTACCTCTGTACACTGCTGCTCTACCTCAGTACACCGCAACCCTACCTCTGTACACCGCTACTCTACCTCTGTACACTGCTATTCTACCTCTGTACCCCAACACTCTACCTCTGTTCACTGCCACTCAACCTCTGTACACTGCTGCTCTACCTTTGTACACCGCCACCCTCCCTCTGTACAACGCCACTACCTCTGTACACCGCTACTCTACCTTTGTACAGCCCCCACTCTACCTCTGTACACCGCTACTCTACCTCTGTACACTGCTGCTCTACCTCTGTACACTGCCACTCAACCTCTGTACCCCGGTAATCTACCTCTGTAAACCGCTACCCTACCTCTGTAACCTCTGTAAACCGCTACCCTACCTCTGTCTCTGTACACCGCCACTCTACATCTGTATACTGCTACTCTACCTCTGTACACCGCTACTCTACTTATGTACACCGCTACTGTACCTCTGTACACTGCTACTGTACCTCTGTACCCCGCCACTCAACCTCTGTACACCGCCACTCAACCTCTGTACACTGCCACTCTACCTCACCCTACTACTACTGTTTGCCAGTCTATTTCTGTACACCACTACTCTAGCTCTGTACACCGCTACTCTACCTCTGTACACTGCTACTCTACCTTTGTACCCCACCACTCTACCTCTGTACACTGCCACTCTACCTCTGTACACTGCTGCTCTACCTCTGTACACTGCCACTCTACCTCTGTACATCGGTACTCTACCTCTGTAAACTGCTCCCCTACCTCTGTGCACCGCTACTCTACCTCTGCGCACCGCTACTCTACCTCTGTACACTGCTACTCTACCTCTGTACACCGCTACTCTACCTCTGTACACTGCTACTCAACCTCTGTACACCGCTACTCTACCTTTGTACCCCACCACTCTACCTCTGTTCACCGCTACTCTACCTTTGTACCCCACCACTCTACCTCTGTTCACCGCTACTCTACCTCTGTACACTACTACTCTACCTCTGTACACTGCTACTCAACCTCTGTACACAGCTACTCTACCTCTGTACACTGCTACTCAACCTCTGTATATTGCTACTCTACCTCTGTACCCTGCTACTGTACCTCTGTACACCGATACTCTACCTCTGTACACTGCTACTGTACCTCTGTACACTGCTACTGTACCTCTGTACCCGGCTACTCTACTTCTGTACCCCCCGCTACTCTACATCTGTACACTGCCACTCTACCTTTGTAGACCGCTTTTCTACCTCTGTACACCGCTTTTCTACCTCTGTACACCGCTACTCTACCTCTGTACCCCGCTACTCTACCTCTGTACACTGCTACTCTACCTCTGTACCCCACCACTCCACCTCTGTTCACCGCCACTCTACCTCTGTACACCGCTACTCTACCTCTGTACACTGCTACTCTTCCTCTGTACACAGTTACTCTACCTCTACACTCGGCTACTCTACCTCTACACTCGGCTACTCTACCTCTGTACACAGTTACTCTACCTCTGTACACTGCTACTCTACCTTTATTCACTGCTACTCTACCTCTATACACTGCAGTCTGTGGCTTTTACAAAACTATTTTGTACACGACTTGTCATCTATCTCATCTATCAGGCCTACTCTGATCTCATCTATCAGGACTACGGTGATGTCATCTATCAGGCCTAAGGAAATCTGTATGAATAACTTGACAATGCTGCTCTTCATTATTACTGTTTCAAAACTGTAGAAGATGTAAAAGCTTTAGTCACGTGGGTCAAAGTTTTACAAAACTTAGGAAGAGGGACCCTCCTCGGGGGCAATATCGGAATGACACGAGGAGAAATAATGGTAACACTAGCTGAAAGAAAATCTTGTATTCAATTATTATCTTTAAACTCGATTCTTCCCATGCAGGAGGCTGCCAAAAGTGTTGATATGGTCTATCTTCCACTTTGTTTCTAATGGTCCATTTCAGGTCCACTTTCTCTAAGAGTCTTGACCAAATTATCCATCCATGTGCTTGTTCTAAATTAAAGGTTTATCTGAAAGGATCTCTGTATGCTGTCTTTGATTGACAGTCTGGCGGTGGTTCCAATAAGTTTTGCTGTTATGGTGGCTATCCTTTGTTTCATCCTGTTTTCTAATGCACAGACCTAATGTGACAGTACACGGTGTATTGTATTTTTACCATTACGGGGGTCAGGTGTAGACAAATGGATCGAACAATGGGGTCAGGTGTAGACAAATGGATGTTGTTGTTATAGATTTAGCTACTGGGAACAAAAAGTTCTAAGTAGCACGGGCTATGGTGAGCCCGAATTGGACTTATCGAGCAATGGGTTTTGTAGGGTATACAAATGGATTAAGAATAAGGAATAAAGTCGAAAAAGAGTAAAATAAGGCGAAATAGGGTACGAAACACATACCAAGATTAATCAGGTGTAGTGGGCGTGGCATGTTGAACAGTGTCTTCTATGTTGGCATCTTCACGTTCTAGTCTTGTTCTTATTCTCATGTTGGGTAGAGTGAATAGTTTCGTAATTTGGGTATTTATGGTGTGTTGTTCTATTTTTATATGGATTGTTTCAAGAATTTGTAATCTTCTTACATCTTGGGTTTTGTCTATTGTACAAGTGATTTTATTCAGCATTTCTCTTGTTAAGGTGATGTCATGGGCTTGTCTCATGTGATTTCTGGGGGCACCGGTTTGAAGATAACAGGTCAAATACCTCGTCAGCTTGGTCGACGTCATACCTATGTACTTAGACTGAAGGTTACATCCTTCGTGGGGGCAAGTGTACATGTATACAACGTTTGACTGCTGTAAAGGGTTCTCCGTCGGCTTCGGGCTGTTTTTAATAAGGAGGTCGGTAGTCTTCTTTGTTTTATAGAATATGATTAGGTCTATGTTTTGGTCAGGAGTAATGCTTTTTATTCCTTTACGAATTATTTCTTTCATTATTCTTTCGTCTTTTTTTATGTTCACTGTGCATAGTTGATTTGTAATATAATTTTATTGGAAATGTTGTGGTTTCTGTTCTAGGTTCAGGATTGTACCATCGGTCCAGGTGGCTTCTTATAGCAGTGTTTATTTGTGTTGCTATATCCATTGTTCACCAACACCTGAGTTATTCTTTCAAACTCCCTACTCACGTTACTCCATTCGGAGCAGTGGGTAAGTGGTAAACCCATTCCTCGATCCATTTGTCTACACCTGACCTCATTGTTCGATCCATTTGTCTACACCTGACCTCCTAATGGTATAAATGAAATATGCCCTGTACTGTCACATCGCTTAAGAATGAACCATGTAGGTTCGAAACGTTGTGTAATTTTATAATAAGTGTAATACATTTTACAGTTATTTATTTCTTTTTCTTCACCTCGAACGAACATGACTTTTGGAGAACTCCTCTTCCAATTAAACCCAGATGCAAGAGCACTAGTCAGAGGGATAGAAGCATTAAACAAGAAAATAATCAATACAGAATATGCAGTCATATTGAATTAAATGTGTATATATATATATATATATATATATATATATATATATATATATATATATATATATATATATATATATATATATATATATATATATATATATATATATATACATACATATACATATATATACACACACATATATGAATGAATGCTTATGATCTCATGTGTTGTTTTCCGCGTCATCTTGTGACTTCAAGAACAATCATAGGCAGTTAACTTATCAATAATATACACGTGCATGAGACGGAGTTCAATTAGAGGTGGTACTCTCTTTATAAATCTGTGCGAGTGCGGGAGAATATAATATATGCCGTTAAACAAAATTATGATTACCGTTCCTGATTACCATTTAGTGCGAAATGTTGCTTGATCACAGTGCCATATATTGAAGAGAAGCATTGCAAAGTGAAGTGATTTAGAAGCTAAATGTAGACGTGGGTGTCATGGTGGAGGTTGAGGTGGTTGTGGAGGTTGAGGTGGTTGTGGTGGACGGTGATGGTGGTAAGTGCTGGTGGTAGTAATTGTGTGTGGTGAAGGGAAGACCAACCTGGTAGTGATGATGTGTGTGGTGAGGGGAGAACAACCTGATAGTGATGGTGTGTGGTGAGGGGAGAACAACCTGATAGTGATGGTGTGTGGTGAGGGGGAGACCAACCTGATAGTGATGGTGTGTGTGATGGGGGGAGACCAACCTGGTAGTGATGGTGTGTGTGGTGATGGGGGAGACCAACCTGATAGTGATGGTGTGTGTGATGAGGGGGAGACCAACCTGGTAGTGATGGTGTGTGTGTGGTGAGGGGGAGACCAACCTGGTAGTGATGGTGTGTGTGTGGTGAGGGAGAGACCAACCTGATAGTGATGGTGTGTGTGTGGTGAGGGGGAGACCAACCTGGTAGTGATGGTGTGTGTGGTGAGGGGGAGACCAACCTGATAGTGATGGTGTGTGTGATGAGGGGGAGACCAACCTGGTAGTGATGGTGTGTGTGTGGTGAGGGGGAGACCAACCTGGTAGTGATGGTGTGTGTGTGATGAGGGGGAGACCAACCTGGTAGTGATGGTGTGTGTGTGGTGAGGGAGAGACCAACCTGGTAGTGATGGTGTGTGTGTGGTGAGGGGGAGACCAACCTGATAGTGATGGTGTGTGTGGTGAGGGGGAGACCAACCTGGTAGTGATGGTGTATGGTGAGGGGAAGACCAACCTGATAGTGATGGTGTGCGGTGAGGGGGAGACCAACCTGATAGTGATGGTGTGTGTGGTGAGGGGGAGACCAACCTGATAGTGATGGTGTGCGGTGAGGGGGAGACCAACCTGATAGTGATGGTGTGTGTGGTGAGGGGGAGACCAACCTGATAGTGATGGTGTGCGGTGAGGGGGAGACCAACCTGATAGTGATGGTGTGTGTGGTGACGGAGAGACCAACCTGATAGTGATGGTGTGCGGTGAGGGGGAGACCAACCTGATAGTGATGGTGTGTGTGGTGACGGAGAGACCAACCTGATAGTGATGGTGTGTGTGATGAGGGGGAGACCAACCTGGTGTCTGATCGCTGATCTGGTTGGTAAGCTTGGCGCGGATATGCTTCAGACCGTTCATGATGGAACCCTTCACCCAAGCTTTGAAGCGGGCTATGCGGTCGAAGGCCTCGGACAGCTTGTTTGGCTCACCATCACTCACCGGCGCGGAGAGGTTGGAGGCGCCGAAGCTGCTCAGTAGCAGGGCCAAGAACAGGTTCAGCACCTGGCACCAGGAGTGAAGTTAGCTTTCCCCTCTACCTCTGCCCCTTCTCCTGCTGGCCCCACGCACTAAACCCCTTCCATTGACCAGAAAACATTGATTTCATATATACAATATCATGTGATAACATCCTAACAACACACACACACTCTCCCTTCACCAGTTGGTTGATGGGACCAAAGAGCCAAAGCTCAACCCCCTCAAGCACAACTAGCTGAGTGCACAGTAACCATAATTATGCATCATTACTACTTACCGTTGCTACCATTACGTGTGTGTTTGCTGGGATGGCATTAGTAACCACTTACGCAGAAGGGATATGGTATCCACCAAGAACCTACACATTCCACACGGGAAAGAATAGGTGAGCATAAGAACACATTCTTAGACTATAGCCGCCTCCATAGGGAACCGGGAGGCGCAGGGAACACACCGTCTAATAGCCTCCCTACTCTCATCTTTATTTATTTATTTTTGTATTTATTTATATATACAAGAGTTCTTACATTCTTATACAGCCACTAGTACGCGTAGCGTTTCGGGCAAGTCATTAATCCTATGGTCCCTAGAATACGACCCCCGCGAAGAATCATTTAACAACCAAGTACCCATTTTACTGTCGAGTTAAATAGAGGCTACAGTTAAGGATCCCAGTAAATCCTCCCCGGTCAGGATACAAACCCAGGACAAAGCGCTTGCGAAACGCCAGGCGAGCGTCTTAACCACTACACCACGGGGGCTGTTATCTTACCTCGGCCACACATGATAACTTACCTGTGTAGTCTATATGTGCAAGACGCGTGCTGACGTGAGCTGAAAGAAGCATTTTCTGCCTCTGCTACTTACCACCAAGTGAGCTGAGGGAAGCACTCTCTGCCTCTGCTACTTACCACCAAGTGAGCTGAGGGAAGCACTCTCTGCTTCTGCTACTTACCACCAAGTGAGCTGAGGGAAGCACTCTCTGCCTCTGCTACTTACCACCAAGTTACCTATGATGACGGTAGCCATGAAGAAGGGTATACAGGAGTAGTCTCCCACCAGCATACAGTCCCACATGCTCTCAATCCACTCCCCACACAGCACCCGGAACACTATCATGAAGGAGTGCATAAAGTCCGTGAAGTTCCAGCGCGGTAGCTGGCCATCATGACTCTCTGGAAACCGCGTCACGTTGTCTGGAACACAAGAGAGAGTCAGCTGCTCACCTGCCGCCCGCCACATAGTTTCTGTACCAGCAAAACTTCAAACCTGAAAGATTCATTAATGAATGTATCAAGCCTGGAAGAATGATCGGAGGATGTATCAGGGGGGGAGAGTGAGGGGGCTGGGGGGAGAGCAGGCGGGCTGGGGAAGAGCGGACGGGCTGGGGAAGAGCGGGCGGGCTGGGGAAGAGCGGACGGGCCGGGTGGGGGGGAGCGAACTGGCGGGGGAGGGGGGGGAGCGGACAGACTAGGGGAGGCGGACGGGCTGGGGGGGGGGAAAGCGGACGGGCTGGGGGGAGAGCGGACGGGCTGGGGGGAGAGCGCACGGGCTGGGGGAGAGCGGACGGGCTGGGGGAGAGCGGATGGGCTGGGGGGGGGGGGAGCGGGCGGGCTGGGGGGGGAGCGGAAGGGCTGGGGGGGAGAGCGGACGGGCTGGGGGGGGAGCGGACGGGCTGGGGGGAGAGCGGAAGGGCAGGGGGGAGAGCGGACGAGCTAGGGGAGGAGCGGACGGGCTGGGGGTGGGGGAGCGGACGAGCTAGGGGAGGAGCAGACGGGCTGGGGGGAGAGCGGACGGGCTGGGGGGTAGCGGATGGGCTGGGGGGGAGGAGCGGACGGGCTGGGGGGAGAGCAGGTACAGACCAGCCCGTGGGCGGCTCAAGTTCCTCAAAATATCAAGACAAATCCCACCTGGAGGTGTGAAGGAATGGAGGTAGGCTTTTAACAATGATTCATAAGTAAATACAACAAAAACCAGGGCCAATGAGCTAAAGCCCGGTTCCTACATACACAGGTGAGTACGCAGACGATGAGTCACAATGACGTGACTAAAGATATGATGACCAAATTACACATCAGAAAGTGAAGAAACGACGACCTTTCGGTCCAGACTTGATAATGACTGTTGAATTGACTGTTAAACGACTTGATAATGGTGCAGGACGGATCGAAACGTCGTCGTTTCTTCACTCTCTGATATGAGGTTTAGTCATCACAGGTGAGTACATTAAACAATTAATTTTACATGAGCCGACGAAAAACGGAAGAATTTATTGTTTACGAATAACATATACAGTATTTAATAACCCAAATGCACCCACAATTTACACTAACTGTTTTCATTATTACATGACACCCAAATGTTACACAATTAAATTAAAAGAGAGAGAGAGGGAGAGAGAGAGAGAGAGAGAGAGAGAGAGAGAGAGAGAGAGAGAGGAGAGAGAGAGGAGAGAGAGAGACGGACAGACGGACAACCAGACAGACAGACAGACAGACAGAGCGATAAACAGACAGACAAGCCACACTTCCTACCAATGTAGTTCTTGCCGAAGAGCTGCATGCCCATGACGGCGAAGATGAAGATGATGATGCAGAGGACGAAGGTGAGGTTACCGAGGGCGCCCACAGTCTTGCCCATGATGGAGATGAGCAGGTTGAGGGTCGGCCACGACTTGGCTAGCTTGAACACTCGCAACTGTCGCCACACAACACAAATACCAATATTCACTAATATTAACAAAAAGGAAAAAATACAATACAGCAGACTGAAGATGTTCATTGAAAAGGTCCATTGGTCATTGTATAAGTGTGAGCATTTCGTCCGGGAGAGTATGCTCAGTCATCGCTCAGGGAGCGGTAAACCTCGGCATTCAGAAAACGGACATAATGCTTACAGTGTACACATGGACATAATGCTCCCAGTGTACACATGGACATAATGCTCACAGTTTACACACAGTGCTTACAGTATACACACGGACATAATGCTCACAGTGTACACATGGACATAATGCTCCCAGTGTACACACGGACATAATGCTCACAGTGTACACACGGACATAATGCTCCCAGTGTACACACGGACATAATGCTCACAGTGTACACACGGACATAATGCTCCCAGTGTACACACGGACATAATGCTCACAGTGTACACACGGACATAATGCTCACAGTGTACACACGGACATAATGCTCCCAGTGTACACACGGACATAATGCTCCCAGTGTACACACGGACATAATGCTCACAGTGTACACACGGACATAATGCTCCCAGTGTACACACGGACATAATGCTCCCAGTGTACACACGGACATAATGCTCCTAGTGTACACACGAACATAATGCTTACAATGTACACATGGACATAATACTTACAGTATACACACGAACATAATGATCACAGTGTACACACGGACATAATGATCACAGTGTACACACGGACATAATGATCAGTGTACACACGGACATAATACTTACAGTGTACACACGGACATAATGATCACAGTGTACACACGGACATAATGATCAGTGTACACACGGACA